AGTCACATAGAATTATTGATAGTTTGAAGTGAAAAGTACCTCGGTCTCGCGGTTCTCGTCCACCTGACCTAGCTCTCTTTCTTCCTCCTCCTTCGTATATATGCCTATCCTGCTCTGAATCAGATCTCATATCTCATTTCCAATTCAATTCTCAATCTAGGCTTTTTGTAAACATGGAATGCAGGACTCTAGAGATCACTCTAATCTTCGCCAAGGACCTCGAGGATGTCCATGTTGACTCCAAGATGGACGTTGGCGCTGTCGTCATCATCAACGACGAACCACAAACCAAGCAGAAGATCCCCGTCGACAAGGACTGCGGTTCCAACCCCAAGTGGAATTACACCATGACATTCACCGCGGAAGAAGCCGCCGCTAACCGGAAACGCCTTGAGCTTGTGATCTGTCTCGTGTCAGATCGTCTCTTTGGCGATATAGTTGCGGGCGAGGTGTTGGTGCCTATCAATGGATTTCTTGATTGCGAAGAGAATGTTCCCGTTTACGGCGTCAGGTTGCCCAAAGGAATGGTGAAAGGTACACTGAATTTGTGTTGCAAAATTGGGGAGAAATTCAGTGTTCCTGTTGCTGCGCCAACGCAAGAGACGGAGAAGGCGAAGTCCGCGGAAACGCTTGTGATGCGATATCTTCCTGTCGGATACAGCGCAGGATACCCACCTCAGCTTTCCTCCGCGTACGCCTACAATTCGCCGCCACAGGGTGCGTACCCACTGCCGCCACCACACTGGTACGGTGGGCATCCACAGCCACAGGGTGCGTACCCACCGTCGCCACCACACTGGTACGGTGGGTATCCTCCGCCACAGGGTGCGTACCCACCGCCGCCACCACACTGGTACGGTGGGTATCCTCCGCCACAGGGTGCGTACCCACCGCCGTTACCACACTGGTACGGTGGGTATCCGCCTCCTCCTGCACAGGGTTACGGTTATACCGGGCACCTGCCTTATGGTGGGCATGGGAACATGCCGGTCCAATATCCAACGGGCGGGTTAGGACAAGTGCCGGCGGGCGGATTGTTGGGCAGTTTGTTCCTGGTCAATATGGGATGTGATGCTTTTGCCAGTTTAACGGATGGGCTAGGCGATTTGTTGAATTTGTAAGAAGGTTTTTTTTTTTTTTTGCATTTTTAATCCTTTATTTTATTGTGAATTTTTCTTACATTCCTCACCTCTTTTCACAACCACCTATATCGCTTTTCCAATTCTGTCGCTCATTATCTCAGTGATCTGCCACAGATTCAGTGGTAAAAACCTCAAAAAGAACAGTTCATGTAGATTTCCATACAATAATGCAGTCTGATAGAATAATTTTATGTCTACGTTTTTAGTCTATTTTGATTCTGTAGCACAATTTTTGTAAATTTAAACCATGCAACCAGGTCATGGAGGCAAAAGGTCTTCCAAGCAAAATCTACAATCCGAATCCTCTCCCCCAGTAAGACCATGAAACAGACAGAAAGAAAATAGTTGAATACCTCCTTGATAGATTCAACTGGCTTTCCGTTAAATTCAATGACAACATCACCAGGATGGAATCCAGCACGATCAGCAGGAGATCCAGGAGTCACCTGGACATTATTTAGAACAAGTTAATACGAAAAGTGACAGGGCACAAAGACTCCCATAAATATTTAAAGGGTCGGTATTCGGGAACAAGGTCATTAGCACCATATAGGCATATACCGGAAGTCAGAAACACAATAAAAGGGCGAAGAAAACATACCATAACTACGAGGACACCTTTTTTAACGTTAGGATATGTGACATCTCTTTCTTTAAGTTGAGCAATGATCATGTCATTAAGATTGAGCATTTTAAATCCAAGCTAATTAAGGCCGCACAACTCTCCTGTACAACATGGCCTTCTGTGGTTTGACATCTCATTTTATGGATGATCTGATGACAAATAAAAAACTTCAAATACCTGTAAATTTTTCAATATTAATAATTTTACATCTCAATATGCTAGCTGATTTAAGACCTTGAAGTTTCACCATCACTCTTGAACAACCCACCATCACAACATAATTTGCAAATATGTTCTTAAAAGTGTAATAATTTTTCAAAAGGTTCATCAAAATAGTTATCTTCCTTCAGTAAGGTGAATGAGATAGAGAGCACAACACATTTGGAGCAGCTATTCCATGCTTGCACCAATTTTTTCTTCTAATGAGTGTGAAGAAGAAATAGATAAAACCTTGGGGGAGACGTGATTAGCTATTTCTTCCTCCTTCCAACTTATTTGAAGAAAAGTTGTAAAAGCATGGAATTTGTTGGCCCAGATGGCAACCTAAGAGGGGGGTGAATTCGGTTTCAAAAAACCTTACGCAATTTTTGAATAAAGCAATGATCAAGCATAAGCAATCAATAAATTATTGTAAACTAAATTGCAAAAATTAAAAGAGTAGGGTAACAAATATTAAACGCTTCGATTTATCCTGATTTGTCACCCTCTTTGGTGCCTACATCCAATCCTTGAGTTTCTTATGCTCAAGATTTAATCAACTAACACTAGCTTCAACGGGTGCTAGTGAAACCGATTACAGTAACTTGTTGGTGCTATCAACTGTTTAAATCTCTTGTTACAAATCTCTCAGCCAGTCCTATACCTCAAAGATGGATTCTTACATCTAACAAGATTTCCCCAATCCCTCTCTCACTTGTTACAATAAAAGAGAATAAGAAAAGTAAGAGAATTCTCAAACTACAAGGTAGAAACTTAAACACTCTTGGTTTTTCAACTTGAAGGTTCTGTTCTTCTTTTTTCTCCACTCTTCCAGATTTGGTTCTTATAGATTGAGAGTGCCAAATCAATGTTTTTACCATTGGGGCTCCTTTTGGAATGCATATACTCCAAATATTGTAGATAAATTAATATTCCAGTACAAGGGGTTGGAACTTGCCTTTCAAGGTTGGAATTTGCCTTCAAGGGTTGGAACCTGGAGGATTTTCTACATTAACACTTCAAAAAACAAAATTATCAAGGATTCCAAACCCTGTCTTGGGGATTGAAATCTCAACTACAGAATAAAATATTTAAGATTTTATTCTTTCTTAATTGATATTTATTAAAATAATATAGTTTTAAAATTTTTTTTACATAAATTTTTATAACTACTACTAATATACATTTTTCATTTTTATATTATATAACCTTCATACAGTTGATTAGAATCTATAATGTAAGAGTGGTTTGCTGCAATTCCTAACATTGTGAAATGTACTCAAAATATTTATAGATGGAATAAGGATTAAGGGACATAAAATCAAATGAAAATTACCAGAAAATTGTTCATGAGTGATACTAGGAAGAAGAAATGGCCGGAAATCAGGTCGTCTTTTCTAAAACCCTAGCAAAACCCACGATGATGTTCTATTCTAGAGATTTCAATCTGATTTTCCCTCCCTCTTTTTTGGTAAACGGAAACATGGACTGGGCCAAAGATGAGTGGGTTTAAAAGCCCAAATGGCCCAACAAATATTTTTAAAAAAGTCCATATGGATAACAAAGAAATAAACAGCACAGAAAATTATTAAGTCCATTACAATTGAGCTATTATTACTTTTTGTCGAAAATAACCTAAAAACTTCAGAAAAGCCATGTCAAAATAGCAAATCTGCTTAGCATGTTCATGGTATCAAAAACTAATAATTTGTTTAATACAAGTTTTGATATTAATAATAAGAAATAAATTTTTTAAAGAGATTTTTTAATCTATGTTCTTAGAATATAAGTTAAATTTCATTAATTTTTATAACAAATCTAATTAAAATATAATATTTATACTTAATAAAATCTATAAAAAAAATATAAATTTACTAAAAATTTATGAAAAATTAATTATAAATATTATAATTAATGAAGTTTAATTTGTACCTTTAAACAAACCTATTACAAAACAAATTAAATAAACCTATTTTTTTAATAATATTAAAACTATTTTTGTTATTATTTTTAAATAATAAAATATATTGCAAAAATATATAAATAAACAAAATTTTTATATAGTTAGACAATTTATAAAATCAAATCAAAAACTACAAAAATATTAAACAAAATCTTATCTTGAACCTATGGAATGCTTGAAGGATAAGAGACGTAGGAACTATCATTGATGTAGGAAGAGGGCTCATGGGGGGCTCATGTCAACCTAAGGTAATGACTTCATTGAGCAATTTTTGACTGTAGTGTTATTTAAGCTGTAATCAAGGCATGCTCAATATCTTTGCATGCCACTGGGGTTGAAAGCTGGGTAGCCTTTGAGGATCTGTACAGTTTTGATGAAGAAAGGCTAAAGTGATCAGAAATCCGTCATGGTTTAGTGTCGATACTTAATTATGGTGTTGACACCATTTGTAAGTATCCATTC